GGTCCTAAATACGTGGATATCACAAATCATGATAACTACAAAAGATAACTGCAAAGACTAATTCAAANTGAGAAGGATGGCTATAAGTAGCCTTACAAAGAGAAAATGAGATCCTAAAACAAAGGCACTAGGCCAACTAACCAACTAGGTCCTAAATACGTGGATATCACAAATCATGATAACTACAAAAGATAACTGCAAAGACTAATTCAAACTTTAACATTGAAACGTAAACACCCAACGGCTCCTTTGATTTGCTCCAACAAACCCTCCCTAAACTAAGCTTGTGGAACAAGGCTTAGCTTATCCATGGCTGAGCAAATCCCAAGTTGATTTCTTGTCCTTTCAAACGCTTCACGACTCAGAGGTTTTGTGAAACCATCAGCAAGTTGTTCATGTGTGCCACAATGCTCCAATCGTATTTCACCATTGTTGACCAAGTCCCTGAGAAAGTGAAACCGAACTCCTATATGCTTGCATCTACCGTGAAAGACAGGATTCTTAGAAAGCTTGATGGTTGAAGTATTGTCACAGAGGATGACTGTACTTTCCTTCACGTTGTGTCCAAGTTCTTCTAAGATTCTCTTGAACCAGATGGCTTGACAGGCGCATACAGACGCAGCAACATACTCTGCTTCGGTAGAGGACAATGTGACTATAGGTTGCTTCTTCGAAGACCAAGCTACTGCAGCTCCATCCATCACAAACACGTATCCTGATGTGCTCTTTCTGCTATCAGTGTCACCTGCAAAGTCACTGTCTGTGTAGACCAAAAGTTCACCGCTTCCTCCTTTCTTATACCAGATCCCAAAGTCCATGGTCCCCTTCAAATACCTTAGTACCCTCTTTGCTGCTTGCAGATGAAGGCTTGTAGGACTTGACATAAAGCGGCTTAGGAGACTTACAGAGAATTGTAAGTCTGGTCGTGTTGTAGTGATGTACATCAAACTTCCTATGATCTTCTTGTAGAACGTTTCATCAACTCGATCCCCTCCCTCATCCATGTCAAGTTTGCTTCCAGGCACCAGAGGATTGCAGACCGAGTTACAGTTTTCCATATCAAACCGCTTTAAGACCTCCATAGCATACTTTGCTTGAGAAACATGAATTCCTTGTGGAGTTTGTAACACTTCAAGCCCGAGAAAGTACCTCATTTTTCCAAGATCCGTCATGTCAAACTCTCTTTGCATAGACATCTTGAACTCTTTCATCATTGAGATGTCATCTCCTGTGTATATCAAGTCATCAACATATACACTAACAATCAAGATGTTACCTTGATCATTGAACTTCTGGAATAGAGTTTCCTCATTTGGCGACTTTGAAAACCCTTCCTTTGTGAAGTATTCTTCAATTCTGCTGAACCAGGCCCTAGGAGCTTGTTTTAAACCATACAGAGCCTTGTGGAGTTTGTAGACCTGATTCTCTTCTCCTTCTACTTCATATCCTTTCGGTTGTTGGATGTACACATCTTCTGTAAGAACACCATGAAGAAAAGCTGACTTCACGTCAAGCTGATGTACCTCCCAATCTCTTTGTGCTGCAGTGGCAAGTATAGCTCTGATTGTGTCCATACGAGCTACTGGTGCATAGACCTCAGTGTAATCGATACCATGCTCCTGTGAGTACCCCTTTGCCACCAAGCGAGCCTTGTGTTTGTTTATCTCTCCATGTTCATTCAGCTTGGTTTTGTAGAGCCACTTGACTCCAATACACTTTGCTCCATCAGGAAGAGAACATAATTCCCACGTTTGGTTCTTCTGGATTGATTTGATTTCTTCATCCATGGCTCTTCTCCACTTATGTTCTCTTTCTGCTTCTTCAAATGTAGTTGGATCAGTTGTGTTGATCTCCACCATGTTCACCTCGTCTTCTTCCATCTCAACTTCTGCCACAGTAACATAATCATTCAGATACCGTGGGAGTCTTCTTGTTCTTCCCTCCCTGACTCCCACATTCTGATCGACTTGTTCTTCTACTTCCTCTGCAGGTTGTTCTGTCTCACCATCAGAGTTCTCTCCCTCAGTGTCTTCTCCTTCACTTTCCTCAACAACACCATCATCGCTCCAGGTTAACTCTGTTTCCTTTTGGTGTGTTTGATCTCCATTCCAGTCCCAACCTTTTGTCTCTTCAAACACGACGTCTCTACTGATTACTACCTTCTTGGTTACTGGATTGAAGAGTCTATACGCCTTTGACTCTTCAGAGAAACCAATTAAGAAGCACGCAACACTCTTATCATCAAGTTTCCCTCTCCTTTGATCTGAGACATGAACATGTGCAAGACTTCCCCATACCCTGAAATGCTCCACATTCGGTTTTACTCCACACCATGCTTCTTGTGGAGTGATGTTCTTGACTGCAAGTGTGGGACATCTGTTGAGTACGTAGAATGTCCACTTCACTGCTTCTGGCCAGAAGATTTTTGGTACTTTGCGAGTTGACAGCAGTGATCTAACCATGTTCATAACCGTGCGATTCTTCCTCTCAGCAATTCCGTTCTGTTGAGGAGTGTAGGCTGTGGTCAGCTGTCTTCTAATCCCATTCTCTTTGCAAAAGTCAGCGAACTCAGTTGATGTGTATTCTCCACCTCTATCAGTTCTCAAACCTTTGATGTTCTTACCAGCTTCTGTTTCTACCTTCTTCTTGAAAATCTTAAAGTGGTTGAAAGCTTCAGACTTCTCTCTCAAGAGATATACCCATGCTTTTCTGCTGCAATCATCAATGAAGCACAGGATGTATCTGATGCCACTCGTTGAAGTAGGATTGATAGGACCACATATGTCAGAATGGATGAGTTCTAGCACTTCTTTTGCTCTCCATGAACTCTTCTTGGGGATGGGATTTCTCGGCTGCTTTCCAACCAAACAATCTGAGCAAGTGAAGCTTTGAACATCAAAGTTTGGTAGACCACATACCATGCCTTTCCTTTGTAGTGTTTTCAGTCCACGATGACTGATGTGTCCAAAGCGCTCATGCCACAACTTTGGTATGTCCTCTGAAGTTATTTGCAGACACCTTTGTTGTTTTGATCCATCGCCTTCACCAGTCTGGTCAAACAACATGAACATTCTGTTGCTGCGCATTTTGCTCTCTGCAATTAAGCCTCTTTCTTCATGATATATCTTGCAGGTTCCTTCTTTTATGATAATGGTGAGCTGCTTCTCTTGAAGTTGTCCAAGACTGAGTAAGTTATTTTTCAGCTCTGGAACATAGTACACATCGCTAATAGTGTACGCAGCTTTGTGTAGAACCAGCCTCACGTTTCCCTTCCCTGTGACCTCCATTCTTTTGTTGTTACCAAGTTTCACCGAGTGCTTGAACTTTTCATCCATGGTTGAGAAAAGTTCTTTGTCACCACTCATATGATTTGAGCATCCTGAATCAAGGAACCATGCTCTTTTTCTTGTCTTCTCTTGCTTCTCAGTGTTGGTCATTAGTGCTCTCTCGGTTGTCTCTTCTTCAGATTCCTCATCTACACTCTTATCTTCAACATATGCCATCAACAACATCTCTTCAGTTTCATCGTAATCTGCATAGTTAACTTCCTCATTCCATTGTGGGCATTCATTTTTAAAATGACCAAGCTTGTGGCACTTATAGCATTCCACTGTGCTTTTGTCGAAGAACCTGCCTCGACCACGTCCCCTTCCTCTTCCAGAGAGTCCTCTGCCTCTGGTTCCATAACCTCTCCCATGTGTTACCTTGAGCACTTGATCGTCTCCTCTGTCTACTTTCTTGAACTTTTGTTCATGTACCACCAGTGAGCTCTGCAACTCATCCAAAGTGATACTCTCAATGTCTTTAGACTCCTCGATGGACACTACTACATACATGAATTTTTCACTGAGTGTCCTAAGGATCTTTTCCACCACCTTTGAGTCTGCCAATGCTTCCCCATTGCTTCTCATTTGATTAGTGATGGCTAAGACACGTGTGAAGTACTCCTCCACATTCTCAGATTCCTTCATCTCCAAGACTTCGAAATCCCTTCTCAGCTTCTGCAACAAGGATCTCTTCACTCTAGCATTTCCTCCGAACTTAGTCTTCATTGAGTCCCAGATGATCTTCGAAGTTCTTCTATCTAGGATCTGTTCAAACTTGATTCTATCAATGCTCTGATAGAGGTAGTGCTTGACTTTGTGATCATTTGTTCTGGCATTGTCAAGTTGGCTCCTCTGCTCCGTTGTTAGAACAGTGGTGTTTGGTGGTTCTTCAAAGCCAGATTCAATGATACTCCATAACCCTTTTGCTCGAAAGAAGTTCTCCATGACCTCACTCCAGTGGTCCCAATGTCCATCGAACTGAGGTAGCTTCATCTTGTCGTCTCCCATCTCTTCTTACTTGTGTTTAGAAGCTGCGGCTTCTTACTTGAAAAACAGAGCTCTGATACCAATTTGTTTGATCAAAAGCTTTGTAGTTCTCTGAATAATACGCTAGATTTCATTGAATGAGAAGGATGGCTATAAGTAGCCTTACAAAGAGAAAATGAGATCCTAAAACAAAGGCACTAGGCCAACTAACCAACTAGGTCCTAAATACGTGGATATCACAAATCATGATAACTACAAAAGATAACTGCAAAGACTAATTCAAANTGAGAAGGATGGCTATAAGTAGCCTTACAAAGAGAAAATGAGATCCTAAAACAAAGGCACTAGGCCAACTAACCAACTAGGTCCTAAATACGTGGATATCACAAATCATGATAACTACAAAAGATAACTGCAAAGACTAATTCAAACTTTAACATTGAAACGTAAACACCCAACGGCTCCTTTGATTTGCTCCAACAAAAACAAACTATTAGGTTAGCTTCATGGGTAGTGACATTACAGAGCCGTTTAAGAGGCACGTCCACATACCCTCTTATACCTTCTAGAAACCGTTTTTGACTAATTTCCAAATTCCTAAGATGGGCAAAACACAATCAACATTCAACATAATATTTTATGATTTAGAAAGCACCCACCATGTCTTTACAATGCTATGCGAGTTATTTACCTTTGTCCAAGAGCTTGAAGGAAATTCTGCATATTACCAATAAGAAGCGGGAAAAGCAAAAGGCCCAGTGCGATAATTACCATAGTAAAAAAGGCCTCCCCAAGAAAGTAACTTGGGACTTGGTTTCCAGCAAGCGTGCTGATTTGCTTTTGAGAGTCGTAAACAGTTTATCATTCATTAAGGGTTCAACATGTGCTGTAAACTAGTTGAACAATTGTGTAACAAACCCCAATTACCTGGAAACCCCATAAAAGAGAGTAAATGTATCTTGTGAAGAGGCTAGAATGATTGGTGAGATTGACTGTCTTTAAATAGATTCCATAAGGAAAACCATCCTCTTGAAAACAAGCACTTGCATTCGCATTATCTTTCCACGCAGCTAACGCTACATGACTATTTTCTTGACCACAATATATTAGTTCTCTGCATTCTTGATGAGAATTACCGCAAGCATCTCGAAGGCAATGATTAACCCTCTGAAAAAAACATAAGAAAAAAGGATGCAGACAATGAGAGTAATAGATAAATCACTAGAAAGATATACAACTTCTTTTGTTTAGGACAACCTAAGTGAATTAAGAAACATAAAGAATATTATATTAAAGTGAAAGGTATGAATTTTGAGACTTTTGCTATACCTGTAGACCAAAAAGATACCAGCAAGAGCCAACAACATGACCAACAAGCATGAAGGTGAGAAGGTTAACAACAAAACTACAAGCCGAATCAAATAGGAAGACTGCCGGTGTTTTTCCAGCAAGAAGTGGTAATAGTCTACACAATTTTGGAATGTACTGGAAAAGAACTGCAGCGGTTAGAAAGTTTTTTGCATAGTTTCCCCCAGATGCGCCTAAGTGTGCTGGTAATATCCAAAATATCCATATCTGTAACCAATAGAGGAAATACAAAACGAGAAATCAGCGGCCAGATGAACATATTCATGTAAAATGGTTGTAGCTCTAAACGTGACAATACCTGTGGAAGTGGCAGCACTATGAATAAGTCCAGTAAACACTTGCCTCGCAAGTAAGGACGAGCAATTTTTCTAGGAAGATCAAACAACTGGCGAGCACCAACAACAGTAGACTCAGGAGCTGCATATGCCAAACGGAACTGCAACAAATATTAAAGAATATACTCTTACTCTTATAAAAAAAATGGAAGCAGAACGTTTCTCGGACATGAAACATTAGTTTTAGGTCCCTAAATTTTTTAAAATTCATATATATATATATATATAAGTACAAGCCCCAATTTATTTTAAAAAATTCTATTAAAGTATTTGATAAATTGTGTATAGCCCAAAATGGAAAAAGGTCAATTCCAACCTCAACAATTCATGTCGTATCTTTTTTTACTTAAACTTTGACATTCTGTCAGTTTCATCATAATCTAACACTTATTTCAAATAAACTATCAGATTTAAACTGATATTAACTTTGAACGAAATAATGTTGGTCAGCCAGTTATAAAATAAATATAGAAAACTAATATATTTGAATAGCTCGAAAGCAATAAAAGATTACTACCAAAATATACACAAAATCAAAATACAATAACTAAACATATAGCCAAAAGCCCGAAAAACAAAAACCTAAAATATAGCAAAAAGACGCAGAAACTACAAATATCCAAAAATTCAAAAACATACTAGAAACCCTGAGAAATCTATTAATACCCAAAAATAAATATATTGAAATAACCATCTAAGTTAAATATTTTAAATATCAAAATATATCTAAAATCTCAAATATTTTTAATGTTTTCGAGTTAGTCAAAGATTTTTTTTTTGTTTGCCAACATTATTTCAGTTAAATTTGATTTTAGCTTGAATTTAATATATAGTTCGTGTAGTTTATTTGAAATAGATGTTAGTTTATGATGAAATTGGCATGATATCAAAGTTCAAGTAAAAAAAGCACTATGGGAATTGACTTTTTTTCCCGGCCCAGAACCATAGAAAATTTACAATAGACAAGAACTAGAAGCGAAAGGAAACAAACCTGAAGCAGAATGTTTAAAAAGAATAAAACATCCGTTACACTTCTAACAGCTATAAATGCTTTAGCCACCGGCCAATCGATCATAATGCATTTATCGTTCTGCCCTACCAAAGATAGTTGTAAAAAAAGGTACCCAAACGCAAAAATACAAAACATGAGTAGCAAAAGATAGAGACCTAAACAAAAAATAAATACCTTTTTGACTTTTATTAGGAACAAGAAGAGAGGATCTATAAAAATAACCAACCATAAGGCAAATAATCTAGTCCACCTCTGAACGAATTTGTAGTGAGGATTGATGATTCCGGTCAAGTTTCTATTAACCGACCGCGTATCCCAGCCTTTAGCATCATCACACATAGCATTATGGGACTAGCAACAAAATAAAGAAAAAAATATTTTGTAAATGAATAAAACATTATACTCTAACTATCAATAATTTATAGAATTTTTACTGTACCCTAGAAGGTGTGATTTGGGCAGGTTTGGGGTTGTAGTAAGACGGGCAAGCTGTAGAGTTTTTGTATTCGAGGGCAGCAAAAGAAGGAGAGCTCTTTGGCTGAGAGGAGGAAGAGACACCAATGGAATGAGAAGAACCACCAATCGGAGTAGGATGAAGAAAGAGAGGCTCAGGAATGCGAGTAGAGGGAAAAGAGGCACTCGTTTGCACTGATGGTGGTCGTATATAGGTTCGAAGAGGAGCCATGTAGCCTAGAACCACATTGGAGCTGTCGAATCTATCAATGGTGGAAGAAGTGTTTGCGAGGGAATAGCTACGAAACTTGGAAGTGAAAGACCTAGTACGAGATGATGATGATGATGAGGATGAGATTGGAAGCATGGGACCATCATCTTTCTCGATAGAGGAAGACATTTCGAGAGAAATTATTCACTTAGAGAACAGAAAGAAAAAGCTATGAGAGTTACCGGGAAGATGAAGCAGATATTTTAAGGAGTTTTGGAGAAATTGAGCCGATGACTGGGTCATGGTCGTCGAATCAAATCACGTCATGCATGTGTATTTATTTTATTATTAATGGATCTACAAGTTGAAAGTGTGAATAAAAGAAGATAAGCTTGTGGAAGTGGAAGCGACTCTAAATAAAAGAGATGTCCTCAACAAGATCAAGATCAAGCTTTCAACTACCGGAT